TGCTCACCAACCCCCATCGTGAAAGTCCCAACAGCTAAGTGTAAAATGTCAAGCACATATAGTGTCTACGTGACAGGAAAACTGGATGGCCGAAAGTGCAACTTTGTCATAGTTTCTGCATCTCAGCAAACCCTTGCGAGTATCAAGGTGCTAGATAACAAAAGAGTACCAGAAGCCATACAGAAGCTCTGTGGTGTGACAAGACAGTATACAATGTTGTGGGGACCAGTGTGAGTAACTATTGAGCTCATAAGCATAAAGGACAGACACAAAGTATACTTGGCTGACATTTAAGACCAATGCATATTAGGGTTTGACTACTTACTACCGAGGAAGTGTGTAGTTAATTTTGATAAAATGACGTTTGGGAACAACAAAGGCCAAATACCGGTAAGTCTTGCTGCTTCTTGTAGATTTGCATGTCACAGCACTTAAGTCAACTACAATACCCTCTATGTCAGAGAAAATAATTTGGGGTAGAATAAAAGAACATCCCCAAGGAAGACCTATGCTTGTGAAAGTAGTGGAAGACCCATCCAGGCCAGCAGACGTGAAGATTGGAAGGTTGCTTGTGGCAGGTCATCAAGTAATACCCATAACAGTGGCTAATTTCTCTAAATGTGAGCAGACACTTAAGGAAGGGGCATTGTTGGGTATGTGCCAGGAGGTAGAGCCAGTCAATAATAAGACAAGAAATACAACCATAAATAAAGAACATCCTCTCCCAGAACAATTAAGTGACCTCTATAAGAAGAGCATAGTCCATTTGTCATAATCACAGAGTCTGGAGGTTAGAGAACTCTTGAAAAATTATGCAGACATCTTTTCAAAAGGAGATCATGACCTTGGCTGCACAGACCTTGTGAAGCACAGAATAAACACAGACAATCACCATCCAATAAAGATCCCTCCAAGGAGACTAGCGACAAGAGATGGAAAAGGTCATGGATGGCCTAATTAAAGAAGGGATAGTTGAGAAATCAGATAGTCCCTGGTCAGCTCCCTTCGTGTTAGTCCAGAAGAAGGATGGGACCCAACGTTGCTGTATAGACTTCAGGGCTCTTAACAGTTTAACCGAAAAGGACTCACACCCACTGCTAAGAATTGATGATACTCTTGATGCTCTAAGTGGAGCCAGCTGGTTTTCAACTCTGGACTTATGGTTGGGTTTCCATAAAGTGAAAATGGCTGAAGCAGATAAACCTAAGACTGC